TCCCGGGGAGCATCTACAGTGAAGTCTGTCCCTGAGCACGAGGCAAATGCTGCAGTCTCCCACTTTCCAGCCTGCCCTGCAGCTCCAGCGGCCGAGGCCTCTACTGAAGGAAGAGGCAGGCATGGCTTTGGAGTCAGATTCTGTGCTTCTACCCTAGCTGCGCGGCCTCGGGAAATCTCACTTGAGTCTCAGCTTCTTTAGCTATAAACCCAAGACAATTAGTAGCACCCGTTTCATTGGATTTGGTGATACATTTTTTTAAAAGTCCAGGCACAACACAAATTCCATTCACTATTCCTCCCTCTCATTATTTTCTCTTTTATTAATCTATTTTATTACAGTATAATTTACATATGACAAAATAAATCTTTTTTTTTTGGGGGGGGGGGTGGCCACAGGGTGCATACATTCACCAGAGAGAGAGAGACTGAGAGAAAGAAAGTGAGAAGTCACCCTCCAAGGGGGATGACCATGCTGCATTTCCTTCTCCTCAATTCTCTAGGGATTTTGGGCACACATACACATGTGCCTGGCGTTTTTCAAGCTGCTGGGAACAGGACTCAAACCATGGTAGCAATGTGGGAATCCAGTGCCTTACCCACCACACCACTGGCTAGCTCCATGAATCTATCTGATTACAAGCTCATTGCACTGACAACTGAAATCCCCATGTAAACCACCACCGTTCTTGTCTTTCGTTCAGCATACTGGATCTGCAAATGGTGTCACCTTCCCCTACTCCCAGTCCTTCAAGTCCCACAGGAAGAAGCTACCCCACAGGGGTGCAACACACATTCCTGCCTTTGTGTGTATAAATCTCAGCTTCCCTTCAGGTATGAATGCACCTGCATGGGAGGTCTCTGCATGTAAGGATTCAGAACACCCTAAAATGTACAGGTTTTCATTTCCTTCGGTGAACTGAAAAACCAGCCCATGTGGGCCTGGTGTTACTTGCTCCCCACTGCTCCCTGCCAGACCCAGCCTTCACCCCCGTCTCTCACCTTTGCATTCTGCAGTGAGGCCAGCTCTACCGCCTTCTGAGCCAGGGTCAGCAAATTGGCCTCCTGGGATGCCCGGCGCCTCCGCCGTGTGCTCTGGATCACTCCACCCCGTAGCACCTGTCCACAGTCCCCTGGGCCCATTGCCCTCAGGCCCTCCTCGTTGCCCATGGCAGGAGCCTCTCGCTCCCGGCCATTGGGTGCCAGTCTCTCCCCATCAGGCAGCATCTGTGTCTCCCTCAGCTCTGGTGGGAATCCCAGAGCTTCAGGATGGGGATGCCCTAGGGAGCCGGGCGGAGGCTGCTGCAGGGGCCAGTGATGGAGGAACAGATTGCCAGTGGGCTCCTGCCCGGGTTGGGTGCCAGCCCCATCCAGGGTGGTAGGAGGCAGGATACCTTCCTTAGAGAGGCGGCGGGATCGGCGGGGGAAGGGGATCTGGGCCTGAGGTAGCACGGGCTGCGGAGCAGTCTCCTGCAGGAGGGCCTTGCGCAGTTCTGGGTTCAGGTCGGGGTTGGGAGGGAAGGGATAGGTTGCCAGGCCATGGTGAGCCAGGTGGGGCTGTCCCAGTGGCCCAGCCGGCTGCAAGCCAAAGTCCTGGGGCTGCTGCGAGGGCGGCTGTTGCATGGGGTAGAAGTTCTCGAAGAGCTGCATCTGGGGCAGGGCTGCCTGCTGTGGCAGTGCCTGCTGCTGCTGCTTCTGCGGAGGGAATGCCGCCACGGGGTTTTGGGGTGATGGGCCCTGCCGGAAGACCTGCCGGTTCACCTGGTGGCCGAAGGCCAGTTGGAAGGGTTGCAGAGGCAGTGTCTGGTTTGGGGGCTTCTTGGCTGCATGATAAGAGTTCAGGGGTGCCTGGGGCCGGCCAACCTCCAGCTGCACCTTCTGTGGCATGACAGGCCGCACAGCGTTTCCATAGCGGTCCAGCTGCTGGGCACCCCCTTTCTCCCGAGTCAGGGCCTCAGGGTGGTTATAGTAGGTGGGGACCCCCATGCCAGGATGGGGGCTCCCCTTGGGTCCACTGTAGAGGGGTAGGCTGTGGCGGTTCCACGTGGAGTGCGGTGGAGGCTGGCCCGGCTGCTGCTGCCAGCCGCTGTCACTGACACCCCCACCTCCACGCTCTGGGCCCCGGCCCGGTGCCATCACTGAGTTGGGCCACTTTACAGAGCCCACCTGCTGGGACAGCATGGCTGTCGTGCTGTGCTCAGGGCCAAACACAGAATTCAGAAGGGCCAGGCTGCCGGGAGGGGGCAGCTCCACAGGCTGAGAGGTGGCAGCTGTGCCAGCCGGGCCCTCGTGCCCCAAGTACTGCTCTTCCTTCACTCTGACAGCCTGTGGGGGAGCCTGCAGGGCTGAAGGCTGCTCCTTGGGAGTGGGTTCCTGATCCCCAAAGAGGCAACGCTTCCGCTTGTTCTGAGCCTTGGGCTGGGCCTGGAGGTTCATGGTGTGGTCAACTAAGCCTCTGTGGGGCACCCTCCTTCACCAGTTGCCCATCCCCCAGGAAAGGTCCTGCAGGACGCCTGGCCCTTGTCCAGGGGCCAGTGAGGGCAGAGCAGAGACAGAGGACGGGGCTGCACGATGCAGTTGGGCAGGAAGAGCTGGCTCTGCCCTGGTCTTCCGGAGAGGCTCCTGGTCAGTCTACACGTTCTAATTCATGACGTTCCACAGGTCCTGTAACCTGCAGAGGGAAGAGGAGGGAGAGGGTCAGCCACAGTGTCCCAGGATGGCCCGATGTTAGACTAGTATGAGAAAGAGGCCTCCAAGGCCTGCATGTCACAGGGACAAGCCCAAGGTCACAGAGCTGCATAGGTCAGGCAGGAGCCACTAGCTTTGGGAGAGCTTCCAGGGAGGCAAATCGGCAGCCCCTGAGGTAGCCTGCAACTCCTCTTGTCCCACCACCTCACCTGTTAGAGCCTGGCACCCCAGCAGTTGGCTGTGTAATTCTCATACTACATGAGGCACTGCTAAGGGGCACATGGGGCAGCCCCCCGCCCAAGGCCCCTCCACCAAGCTGAGCAAACGGGTAACAAAGGCCTTATTGGCTCCCTTCACTGGGCGTCCAGGCCTGGTCCTCCTGGCACATCTGTTTACATAGTAGCCTCCCACCAGATAAAGGACTTCATCCACCAGCAACTCCTCTGCTGCTCCAAGCACATCAAACACAGGAAGTGGACAGGACAGGGGTCTGTCCCAACATAGCCACACCTCTTGTGCAGCCCCAGGGTTGGGCACCCTACTCGGCCCTTGCAGAGTCCAGGGCCCAGGGCTAGGCCCTCAGTCCTTACAGTGAGGCATGTAGGTGAGGCCTAGAAGGTGTGTGCAGCCCTAGCCCCACCCCTGGGAAGAGCTGCTGGGTGGGACTCTGCCAGCCAGTCTTCCCCAAACCAGCACAGAACCTGTTTTGCAGCCCTGGCTGGCTGGAGGCAGAACCCAGCCTAGGAACAGGTCAGCAGCCCCAGCTCCCTAACTCCGACGTTAGGGAGCTAGAGTTGGTCCAGGAGGTTTCTGCATGATCTGTCATGACTAAATGCTCACGGAATTTCTGTTTTTGTTTTCTAACTTGATGTTTAAAAGGTTGCTCTATTTATCTTGCTATGCAACAGACAGATTCCAGACTTGTATTTTACAAATGACATAGCTGCTTTATGTGTTTTTAAAAGGCTTTTTCTTTCTTCGGAGGAGCTTTTTATGGTTCGTTTTTCCCTCCCTGGAAAGTCGTTTGGGGTGGTAGCTACACAGCCCACCTCTTCCCCAGGTAAGATTCTGGGAAAGGGAGGTAAAGAGCTCAGGCAGCCTGGAAAATAACCTGCAAGTCCAAGTCATTGCTGACAGCCCCAACAGCCTCCAGGAGGGCAGGGGCTGGCAGTCGGAAGCCCTGGCTACCACCTCCTACCCTGCCAGGGCTGGGAATGCCCCTCCCAGGGCCCAGGCCCTGCTGCTATCGCTCCTCTGCAGGCTTCCGCAGCTCCCAGCCCATGCACTCCTGGAGCCTGCCGGCTGCTGCTGTGACTCACAGGGGCCCCCTCCCTATCTTTCACTTTCACCCAGCACCCAGAAGGGGAGTAACTTCCTCCTCCATTTCCTTCCTCAGCTCTGGCCAACAGTGAAGAGAGTGAGAAAGTCCCTCCCCATGGCACCCCCTTTGTGTTCAAATATGGAGTTGGGGGGAGGGAGGGAAGAAGGCTAGGAGGGCCCCCAGCAAGCAGAGGGGGAGGATTTGGACCAGAAGGAGCGCTGAAAGCCAGGGAAACCACCTTTTGAACCAACTCCTTTCTCTTGTTTTGAAACTTTCTTTCTCTGACCACTAACCTAATTCAGAGCAGAGACCCAAAAGCCGGTCCAGATTGAAAATCACCCTGGAATACCCCCCTTCCTCAAGCTGCAGGGTGGGACTGTCCAGCCCCGCCTCTCCAAGGGAGCTTTAGCCCAGCAAGCTGTAGAGCTGTACGTGTCTGCAGAAGCAGAAAAGCCCCAGGCAGGAACAGCCCACTCCTGCTCCCAGAGTAGAGGAGGAGGAGGAGCGCAGTAGGAGATCCCGCCAGCAAACATGCCTCCACAGGGCAGCTGCGAGCCCCCCACCCCACCTCCAGCTCTCAGGCCTCATGCCTCTTCCCCACTCTCATCATAGCCCTGTCACCTTGTAAGCACAGCAATAGCAAATGCTTGGGGCCTGGAGCAAGGGAGGGCCCACGTGGCAGGCGGGCCTGGGTGAACGTGCCAGCTTGCACCTGATGGAGGGGCCCAGGCATGGGGATGGCCACTCAGAGAGTGTATCCCATAGGGTTTGAGAAAGACAGAAGTGGAGTCTGAGAATGGAGCTCCAGGATACAGCTGCTTCTGCCCAGAGATAAGGCCAGAGGCCAGAGGCAGGTCTTGCAGGGGCTCACTCCTAGCTGTGTGCCCCAGAAGGGCTGGGTCCAGCTGGTCTGCCTCCCATGTCCACCCTGTCCATCAAGGAACACGCTACTCAGGTCACCGCTGCAGGTCTCTGCAGCTGGGACAGGGATTGGCTTAGAAGAAATCAAGGGGGCTATTTTGCGGAGGCTGAGTCACCTCAGAAGCTTCCTGCTGCAGAGGCCTCTCTGTCACCCTCAATGGAGAGCTAAGAGTGCCAGGGGGCACAGACACTCAGGCCCAGGACCCCCTAGAGAAGAAAGGTCACTGTATGGGGATAATGCCTGGGAACCTGGGAGGAAGGGGGAAGGGGAGACACACCCAGGCAGCAGGGCACTAAGTAATAATAGTAGCAATAATAATAATCATAATAATGCACTTGGGCCAGGTGGGTCCTAAGTGTTTTGCATCCTTTTAATTAACACAACAGCTTACAAGGCAGGCATTATTACTTTAACCTTCATTTTACAGGAGAGCTAGACGAGGCTAAGTAACTTACCTATGGTCACAGTAACCAAGCTGCAGAACTAGGACTTGAACTCTGGTCTGCCAGTCTCTGAGACATGCCACTAAGACCCTAGCTCCCTCTGTACACTCCTTCCTTCTACAGCAAGCTCCCCACCATCTCAGAGCAAAGATTTTTCTGGACACAGACATTCCTCCTCTGAGGGGCACTGAGAAGCCCCTTCCCTCTGCTTGAACCCTTGGCAGGTAACCCTCTCACAGCGTTCTCCCCCAGTACAGCTGAGATCCTCACTCCTGCATGGAGGCATGATGCACTAGCCACTTTGACCCTGCACTCTGGGCCTTGACTCTTAGGTCCATGCAACTGCATCCAGGCTCAGTTCTGGCTGCTGTTAGTAGAGCTTCCATTCTGACCCCACTGGCACTTCCCGGGTTGCAACTCAGACCAGGTCTGAACCATTTCCTCCCATTTTTTTCTGCCCTGCCCTGCCTCGCTGTCCCTAGGTGGAAATCAGCCTGGCCTTCCTCGCAGTGCGGAAGAGGAAGGAAGCCACCTTCTCCGAAAGCTGCCAACCTACAGCCCAAGTCCCGTAGTTTCAGGGAAGCGGGTGTAATGAGGAACTCCTGCAGGCAGTCACCCCTGGGACCAGCTGCAGGGCCTCTGACCACGGATGCACAGGAACCCTGCAAAAGGAAACCCGCAGTCACCGTGGGGCCCCAGATGCTGCAGCCCACTCGATCAGTCTGTTTGACTGTCTGTCACACTCTAGTCACTCTCCCTTCCTCCAGGCTCTTCGCTGCTACAACCAGTCCTTGACCAGACCCACAGGGACCCCTTGGCTGAAGACGACAGTATCAAGGCCAGGGATCTAAGAGGCTTTCAAGAAGATCTATAGCGAGAAGCACTTTCTCTCTACAGAACAAAGCAGTGTGCAGCAAAACAGTGCTAAACCCACATGTGTGTTCTGCGACACTGAAGGGAGGGTGTTAGCGAAGCTCTTGGTGTTCAGCACTGACACCATGCTCTCCAGGACATCAGCCTGAACACACACTGCCCCACACGTGCCACTAGCAGCCCCGCAGAACGCCCAACATTGGCTGGCCGACCCTAGGAAATTCCGGTGAGCCCTGACACAGGGCAAGGGGGCTGGGCCACAACCACACAGGGGACCTGAACCACTCACCAGCTCCTATGGGGCGCACGAGTGTGTTCACCTGAGAAACAGCTATGAGTCAAGGGAGAAGGTGCCAGCTTGATCCCAGCGGCCGCAGGGGCTGAGCTCTAACCTGAGGGCGAGAGCTGAAAGGAGGACTCCCTCCTCTGCTCTTGCAGGCTCATGTTCCAGACTCTTGCTCTTACAGCCTGGCCCACCCCAGGCCCCACAAGCTCAGCACTAGGAAATGGAGGAGTTGGAGCTCATGTGGCTACTCAAGGGTGAGCAGACCTGAGCCTGGCATTTGACAAGGCCCTGGAACTCCAAAGTCCAAGCTCTCTACCCTGTCCCCAAGTCCCGCTTACCCTCAGGCCTCAGACACTACTTTCAGGCCCCAAGACTGAGACAGGGCCCGCATGGTGAGCCCATAGCAGCTCCCGAGCTGACTGCCCCCACCATTGTACACAGTCTGCTCAGCCCACGACTTCCCAGATGCCTGTCGCATCCCCAGCAGGCAGCAGGCTCCACGAAGCAGTTTGCAGACTGTTGTACCTTGGCCCTCGGTTTGTCCCTGTCTCTTGGGATGCTCATTCAAGACTGTGCCCTAGGTGAGCCCAAGTCATGCCTAGGTGCAGAGGAGCCTCTCACAGCGGCATTTCCCACCTGGCTCTGACTTCCAATCTCTCTCCCTGATGCCCAGGAGAGCTGCCCGGAATACTGAGGTGAAGGCCCAGGATCCTGACTCAGCCTAGCAAGAGCCCCAGGCCCTCTTCGACTAAGATAAATGTAAGACTTCCAAATGCTGCCCAAAGCCACTTGTCCCTTCACTCACTTGCTAACTCACACTACTTGCAGGCCACCTGAAAAAGTGCTAGCCCCACTGCCCACTCTCCCTCACCCTAGGCTTCCCAAGCCACCCAGACCATGCCAGAGACATAAGCCTATGGATCTGCTTACCTTGTGCCCTGACATGGCTCGCTGGACCTTGAGACACCAAGATCTGGCTGGGATGCCAGAAGGCCACGACAAACCCCCACCACCCAGAGGAGCCCAGCACAGTCCGGCTGGCCCCTGATCCAAGTTCACATCCTGAGAAGCTCTGTCTCAGATACTCAAGAGTCTCTGGCCATCGCCAGACTAGGCAAGTGGCCTGGAACTGCTGTCT